ATATTCATTGTGTTCACCTTCATTGCCTTCTCTGACAAATTATGAAGTCATCTTTCAGATAATAAGACCTGAAAAAGAGATAAACAATATATTATTTTTCCTTTGATTTGCACTTCTTATATTATCCTGGGGTGCACCTGTTAGATGGAGAGGCAGTTCATTGCTGCTGAATCCTTCAAGAATGTACTTTAGTTTTAAATTTGAGAATTCCATGAAAATGAAATCTTTTGTCTTTATTGGTACATTTGGCTGTGGAAAGGTGCCACCTTTTGGTTGGGGTTGGAAAATCTTGTTCTGATGTCCTTATGTTACTTGTCTAAGAGCACAGAGTCTAGTTATTATTTGAAATTAGAAGGAAACTAATTTGTCTTAGAATTTTCATGGCCCTAGTTAGTCAAGTTCTGCTACCACATGTCCCTAGAGCAGTATGGTTCCCAGACTACTGGTCCTTCTTTTAGACTTTCTGCATCAGAATAATTAGGGATGAGGCTAGGCATATGTCTGTGTTCTTGAAAAGTTTTGAGTTAATTGGGGTGTATGTCTTAGGACTGAGAAAAATATCTAATAAAGATGGATTAAAAATAATGGAAACATGGCCCCCTTCGTTCCCGGCTGCCGTTTTTCCCGCGCGTGGACAGTGCCCCCGCACGGTGGTCCCACGTTGGTGCGTGGCCTGATGCTGGGCTAGAGGGCTCGAGTTCCCCTATCGCGGAGCCTTCAGAGTTGGGGCTCCCGTCGGGCCCTCGCGGCCCTTGGTCTGCGCTTCCCCCTTGTTGCAGTGCCAGGACCCTTCCTCCCTCTCCTTAGCTCCTCGGGCGTTCTTTTCCAGAGAGTCACATGATTTGGTCCTCTAGAAGGCTTCTTTTGATTTGATTCATTTTCATCGCCCTTCTCCCCTCCCCCCAAATCCTTTGACTCCTCGGTGTCTGTCTTCCGTGGATTTCCAGAGAGCTGCTTTCCGAGACGTTAAATCCTTTTTATCTTGCCATTTCGAGCTTAGCGGAAAATGATTAACCGCCCCCGAGTCGCTCCCAGCCTAAAAGTGGATTCCCGGTTTCTTGCACCTCTAAGGTTTGGCTGCTTTTCTTCCCTTGAGAATTCAGGTCATCTCACACCCAGATATCTCTTGTTTTCCTTCCATCTATTTGCAGGTAGTCACGATTCAGGGCTGTAGCATTTTGGGCATTACGGGTTTTAGTTTTGAAGGGAGACTACATCTTTCTGAATTTTGCCTTGGGAGTTGCATTTGCTTTTCCCAGAGAACGAGTTTCTCCGTGTTATAACCAGGTTTCTTTTTCTGCATTTTCTTTTCATCCCTCCCTTTTACAGGTCTTCATTTCAAGACTGCTGTCTCACAGCCATTGCTTCTGTTGAAAGTATCAATGGCCCTGATACTGTAATATGAGCTTTACATTGTAGCGGGGTAGATTTGCTGATGGTGGTGGTTGCTAAATTCCTATTTGAGGAAATTGACTTGCTTAAATGCAGATTGTGAGAATGAGGTTAAGTAGCAGGAAGTGAGTGAACTCTGTTAGTCTCAACCACTCAATTTGCTTTTTCTTTTGTCATTTGTGATTTGGGTGATTAAATGTAGCTCTGTTTTGCTATAGAAAGTTTGGGAATTTTCAGTTCTTTCGTCCTTTCCCATCTTCTTGCAAGA